GTACTGGTATAGATACTTCGTTACAATAGCATTCTTTTTATTTAACCGCTTTCTTTAGTGGTGGTATGATGTCATAGTATACCTAGTGACGTGTGAAACTTTCGTGTCAGGCGGGACTCGAACCCACGTCTTACATTGTCAGAGGGCGCGTGAACTAACCCGTTGCACTACTGATGCCCCTTTTGTCATCACCGTTTCTACGCTAGAGCATATTTATCTGTCAGCAACAAACCGTCAACGGTTTGGCCCAGGTAGCCAGTATATATTACTCTATATCTGTCATCGTGACTGGGTTCAGTGTCGACACCGACTACCTGAGCCAAATTGATGACTACTGCTTGCTGACAGATAGATGTGTTGTAGCGTAGAAAGAGTGGAGTGCAAAACAAGCGTCGGTGGTGCACAGGTTTAGCAGAACAATATTGGGTTTATCACCTAATTGATGAGAACATGTGGCTTTTCGTTGAATAGAAGGTGACGGTTGAATCTTCAGGTGCAGTGGGTGCAGGTATTGGTGGTGCAAAAGTTCAGCACATTCTCTCGGAAAGAGTTAGATCTGGTTCGAATTCCGGCTGACGCAGACGTTTCTGCACACCACTCAACATCATTAAGTTTATCACCTAATTGATGAGAACATGTGGCTTTCCGTTGAATAGAAGGTGACTCTTGAATATTCAGAGACTAGGTGAATTTGATGAGGAACGTAAGAGACCGATTAGGGTGTTTGACATAAAAACGGGCGAAGCTGAGCGGTTAGAAAGGATGAGGAACGTTAACATCGCTAACTCTTTGAGATTCATCGTGACATTGCTCTTCCATTGCAGGCATGAGATAAAGTCGATAAGATTGAGGCTAAATATCTTTAAGAAATATCAGATGTGACCAAGGAGAGTGATCAGCTGAAACAGCAGCGCCACCTATTTCAAGCACCGGTAGATTCCAATTTAGGTGTAGCATTCACTGAAAAACGAGATCTTATATGCAGTCATATTAAGTGATGCGTAAAGCTTCCGACAGGCGTGACTCGAACCCCCATTTTACCTTTTCCGAAGGCAAGTGTATAACGAAGGGCACTAAATTCGCTGTTCTTAAGTCTGTTGACGGTTGGTTGCTGGCAGATTAATGCATTTTAGCGTAAGAAAAGTGGTGGAAAAGTGGCAAAACGGGAGTCTATAATGCAATAGTGCAATTAATTAATCACGTGCTCTCGGAAAGGGTGAGATACGGGGTCGAGTCTCGCCGCCAAAGTTTTACACATCATACTGCACATTGAAAAAATAACTTTGATAGTGTAGTATGAGCATGGTAGAATAAAAGACATGAAAAGTGGAGCCCCACAATGCATAAATTTTTCCATAACTCATTAAATAAGATATTAGATAAACCTGGTCAATTCTCTACTCCAGTTTTGTAGAGAGTAGTGTGATATTTGCTTCTTGCCTGCACACTCAGTCTCGTGGAGTGAGCATCATCGGCTGACTCATAGTCCATTATAAAATGATACTTCTACCATATCGCAGGGTTCAAGGCAAGAAATTTAAGGCAAGAACTCAACCAATTCAGAACATTAATCTAAGAAAATTGAGCAATGAGCTAATCTTCGACCTCAGACGGAAGTTGAACCCGCCTTTCACTATACTGGGGGTCCGTGCTACCATTACACCACCGCGGCATCATTTCGCTATTACTCATTCATCAATGTCTCTACCATAGTATCAGCCACCAACTTATTACGGGTTTGCTCGGATAGCCAAACCGCAACAAAATTAATTCGGCAGCTATTTGTGATGCGTAACAATCATGATTTCTAAAGTTCTTGCTGCTTATTCGCAGTGTTATGACGTTCCAAAGGTTCCTAAGAGAACTGAGTGGTGAGCAAAAACCCAACCACAGGCCTGAGTTAAACGCGTGTTCCACCCTACGGAGGACGTTTGCTACCCGTTTATGGGGCTATGGTAGAGACATTTAAGAATGAGTGGTAGCGAAACAATGGCTTGGTGCTGCAGTGGTAGCACGCGTCCACGCCGTGAATGAAGCACCGTTTCAACTCCAGGCGGAGGTCCGATTTTCTCTCACCATTCAGTTTTCTTTAATATGTTTGAAACGTCATAACAATGTGAAAAACCATGAAAAACATAAGATTTCCAGAGTATTACGTATCACAAATAGCTGTCAGCTCAAATGGGTTTATAAAGTGAAATTGCTTACCTGAGTAGATCTGTTACAGATTGGTGGCTGACAGCTATGATAAAGGCATTGACGAATGAGTGGTAGCGAAATGGTGCCTCGGTGCTGTAATAGTAGCACGCGCTCCGATATGGATGAAACGCGAGGTTCAATTCCTGCCTGAGGTCGGATTCTTGCTTACTACACCAATTCTCATAGATAAATTTGGAACGTCATTACGCTGCGAAAAAGACCATTAAAAAGCTTAATCTGTGCCTAGATTCGTAGGTGCCCGGTCATCTGAAATGTTCTTTTAATAACGTTGGCAAAGTCGAAATAAATTTATGTTTCACATCCGCCGCGCGCATTCATCTCCATGACACCTATAATTCGCTGGAAGCACGAACAGCATGTGAAGCTGCACAGGAGGTCTCGTAGTATCTTAGACAATCGTTTTATCTGGAGTTCCTATTAAAGCGGAGAACAAATTTCCATTTGGATAACTTGTTTCACTTCACATGTCTAACGCGTTAGACCATTGATCAATCGTCCTGTCCCCTAGCCCGTGGATTAGCCAGTAAACAGGCTAGCCGAATATGTGAAACTCAGTCTTGCTTGCTCTACTGCACTGAAGCGAAACGTCTTTCCAGAAAATTGAGCACAGTTAGGAATTATTGAAAACTACATTATCAGATGATTACTATTAATCCAAAGAAATAGCTCTGTCCGGGACGTTATGATACACAATTCTCTTCTTCCTACTTTAGCACTACCACAGAAGCCATTCCAAAAAGTAATCATAATTTTGAATTCTTTGAAACTAGCGTTATCGAAGTAGTAGGAGTCCGAGGAAGGAGTCTTGTATAGCGAAATATAAGCGAGATAAGAAAGAAAAACGCGTGTTTGTGTAAGACATGAATTTTATTCTAATTTTCCGTCATTATAACAGGGTGTTTTGAAACCAGCCACGTACTTCTAGCCAGAGATTCAAGCATTCGAGTATGCGTTCGCTGTCGTCTAATAAAAAGTAGTAAAAAATTACAAGTCATTTATGCCAAAGGCCAAATTTCCTGCTGTAACACAGAGGTGGTAACAATTATTACTTATCACGTACGCGGCCGAGATGAATCTACTAGGAGGTTCCTAGGTAGGTCTCTTCAAATATTTCATAGATAAAAAGAGTAACAACTCTTGGCATGATCAATCCCTGAAGGATGCGCCATGCAATCGTCTTCAGTTTTCAAATTTGCTTGAGGTGGATGAATGCATATCTGGCCTTTACAATGACTCGCGGTGGTCTCCCGCTGGTATCGGGCCAGCACTGATTATCTCCCAGACAAGTCTGGTATGTGACTTTGGGAGGAGGGATGGTTTGGTTAGCCATGAGCGCGAGATCGAATCGTCGACCTCGTGTGCTATGCAGAGCACCTATAACCACTGCCCCTATGCGCTGCATTTCATAGATACAATCACAAAAAAAATTTGAAGTTAATAAACCCACCTGTAGGGTGCTCTGGATTAGACTATTAGCGACTCCTAGCACTTGTCGGAACTAGCGAATCGACTGTGTGCTACAAAATTCTGAATAAACTTAGGAACTTGGTTAATCTGATTAGGATATAACTTGTTTCGAGCTGTTAGGTCTAGTGGTATACAGGCACCTGTTTCATCCTATTGGGACTCATCAATACCACCCTCCCTCGGTTCAGCCAATTACCTGAGGTTAAATAGCCCTCTATAAAAGAATCGACGCCGGGTAATAAATTACCCCACTTCATTAATGTACTTACCTGACACTTTGTTGACTGACTCTCGAAGATGAAGCTGTTACAGTGAATCATACCTCTCTTATCGACCGCTTCTTATAGACCCGTCTGCAGGTGTCAGACCTGACTGAACGTATTCAACTTTCTTTGGATCAATAAATTCATTGAATAATTGTAGAAATGCCAACTATATGACACTAAATAACGTTGCTTACAGGTCTCTAACCTAGGCGATATGGTCGAATAGCTTGTGATCGACGCATAATTGATGGACGATCATAGGGCGCCCTGCAAGCAGATATGTCAGTTCAGACTACCGCCACACGCTGCAGAACAGCTTCGCGACCGAGCGCATGCGGGCAGCCACTGAGTTAGAGCATCTTTACTTCGTCAATCACACGATTTATGTGGAAGCAGTCTATTCATTCACATGACTTCTTCGATATCACTACTTAGATCTAATACAGTCACACTTCCCCGGAGTTTAGTGTGAAAGGCAAAATGCAATGTCAAATCATATCGCTGTGGAGCGAGGTCTCATAATAATCGCCTGCATTGATTGCTATATAGCGTGATTCTTGCATGGAGACAATTTCTACTCAACTCTTCCTAGCCTATTACATCCTCTGAACATAACTCTGCATAGAGGCCTATTGATCGTTATAACTGTTCCCTCTGTACTGGGTTGTAGATACTTCGTTACAATAGCATTCTTTTTATTTTACCGCCTTCTTTAGTGGTAGTATGATGTCGTAGTATACCTAGTGACGTGTGAAACTTTCGTGTCAGGCGGAACTCGAACCCACGTCTTACATTGTCCGGGAGCGCGTGCGCTAACCCGTTGCATTACTGATGCCCCTTTTGTCATCACCGTTTCTACGCTAAAGCATATTTATCTGTCAGCAACAAACCGTCAACGGTTTGGCCCAGGTAGCCGTTATATAATACTCAATATCTGTCAACGTGACTGGGTTCAGTGTCGACACAGACTACCTGAGCCAAATCGTTGACGATTGGTTGCTGACAGATAGATGCTTTGTAGCGTAGAAAGAGTGGAGTGCAATGCGAGCGTCGGTAATGCAACGGTTCAGCACATTCTCTCGGATAGATTAAGATCTGGGTTCGAATTCCGGCTGACGCAAACGTTTCTGCACACCACTCAAAATCATTGGGTTTATCACCTAATTGATGAGAACATGTGGCTTTCCGTTGAATAGAAGGTGACGGTTGAATATTCAGAGACTAAGGGAATTTGATGGGGAACGTAAGAGACCGATTAGGGTGCTTGAAATAAAAACGACGAAGTTGAGCGGTCAAAAAGGATGAGAAACGCTAACATCGCTAACTCATAGAGGTTCATCGTAACATTGCTCTTCCATTGCAGGCATGTGATAAAGTCGACGAGACTGAGGCTAAGTATCTTTAAGAAATATGAAATGTGACCAAAGGGGAGATCAGCTGATAGAGTAGCGCATCCTATTTCAAGCACCGGAAGATTCTAATTTAGGTGTAGCATTCACCCAAAACTGAGATCTTATATCCAGTCATATTAAGTGATGCGTAAAGCTTCAACGAGAGGCGTGACTCGAACCCGCATTTCACCTTTTCCGAAGGCAAGTGTATAACCAACTGCACTACAGATGTCTGTTTTTGAGTCCGTTGACGGTTGGTTGCTGGCAGATTGATGCATTTTAGCGTAAGAAGAGTGGTGGAAAAGTGGCAAAACTGGCGTCTATAGTGCAATTAGTTGATCACGTGCTTTCGGAAAAGGGTGAAATACGGGATCCGAGTCTCGCCGCCAAAGTTTTACACATCATGCAGCACATTGAAAAAATAACTTTGATAGTATAGTATGAGCATGGAAAATAAAAGACATGAAAAGTGGAGCCCCACAATGCATAAATTTCTCATAACTCATTAAATAAGACATTCGATGAACTTGGTCAATTCTCTACTCCATTTTTGTAAAGAGTAGTGTGATTTTTGTTTCTTGCCTGCACACTCAGTCTCATGGAGTGAGCATCATCGGCTGCAACATAGTCCATTATAAAATGATACTTCTCCGTTATCGCAGGGTTCAAGGGGAGAAATTTGAGGCAAGAACTCAACCAATTCAGAACATCAACCTGAGAAAATTGAGTAGTGAGCTAACCTTCGACCTCAGACAGGAGTTGAACCCGCGTTTCACTATACTGGGACCCATTACACCACCGAGGCATCATTTCGCTATTACTCATTTTTCAATGTCTCTACATAGATATCAGCCACCAATTTAAAACGGGCTGGCCCGGATAACCCATGTCGCAACAAAATTAATCCGGCAGCTATTTGTAATACGTAACTCTCATGATTTCTAATGTTTCTACTGCTTTTTTGCACTGTTATGACACTCCAAATGTACCTTAGAGAATTGAGTGGTAAGCTAAAATTCAACCACAGGCCTGAGTTAAACGCGTGTTTCACCCATACGGAGGATGTTTGCTACCCGTTTATGGGGGCTATGGTAGGGACATTTAAGAATGAGTGGTAGCGAAACGATCGCTTGGTGCTGCAGTGGTAGCAGGCGTCCACGCTATGGGTGAAACGCCTGTTCAACTTCAGCCGGAGGTCCGATTTTCGCTCACCATTCAGTTCTCTTTGGTATATTTGAAACGTGATAACAATGTGAAAAAGACATGAACAACATCAGATATCCTGAGTATTACGTATCACAAATAGCAGTCAGCTCAGCTGGGTTTATAAAGCGAAATTGCTTACCTGAGCAGATCTGTTACAGGCTGGTGGCTGACAGCTATGATAGAGGCATTGACGAATGAGTGGTAGCGAAATGGTGCCTCGGTGGTGTTATAGTAGCACGAGCTCCAATATGGGTGAAACGCGAGTTCAACTCCCGTCTGAGGTCGGATTCTTGTTCACTACTCAATTCTCACAGGTATATTTGGAACGTCATTACGCTGCGTAAAAGACCATTCGAAGGCTTAGATCTCTGCTTAAAGCCGTAGGTGCCCGGTTATCTAAAATGAAAACGTCTTTCCAGAAAATTAAGTACACCAAGAAATCATTGAAACCTACATGAACAGATTATTACTATTGGTTCAAAGAAATAGTTCTGCCCGGGAAGGTTATGATACACAGTTCTCTTCTTCCTACTTTAGCGCTGTCAGAGGAGTCATTTAAAGAGGCAATCATAATTTTGAGTACTTTCAGACTAACGTTATAGAAAGAGCAGGAGTGTATGGAAGGAGTCTTATATAGCGAAATGTAAGCGAGATAAGAAAAAAAACGCGTGGTTGTGTAAGACATAATTTTATTCTAAATTTTCATCATTATAAAAGGGTGTTTTTGAAACCAGCCACGTACTTCTAGCTAGAGATTTAAGCATTCGAGTATGCGTTCGTTGCCGTTTAATAGAAAAGTACCACAAAATATAAGTCATTTATGCCCAAGGCCAAAGAAAATGCTGTCACACAGAGGTGGTAACAACTATTAGTTATCACGTACACGGCTGACATGAGTTTCTTAGGTATGTTCCTGGGTAGGTCTCTTCAATTATTTCGTAAATGAAAAAAAAGAAAACTCTTGGCTTGATTAATCCCTGAAGGATGCGCCACACAATCGTCTTTAGTTTTCAATTTTGCGTGAGGTGATTGAATGCATATCTGGCCTTTAAAATAACTCGCGGGGCCTTCCGTTGTATCGAGTCAGTACTGCTTATCTCCTATACAAGTCTGAGACAAGTCTGGTATCCGACTCCGGGAGGAGGGATGGTTTGGTTAGCCATGAACGCAAGATCGAATCATCGACCTCGTGTGCTACGCAGAGCACCTATAACCACTGCCCCCATGCGCGCCATTAGATACAATCACAAAACAAGAATCAAAGTAAATAAACCCACTTGTGGGGGCTTTGGGTTCGATTACTACCGACTCCTAGCACTTGTGGGAACTAGCGTGATCGGGCGTGTGTTACAAAATTCCTAATAAACTTAAGAACTTGATTAACCTAATAAGGGTATAACTTGTTTTGAGCAATTAGGTCTAGTGGCATACAGAGCGCCTGTTTCGCCCTATTGAGACTCATCAGTACCACCCTCCCTCGGTTCAGCCAATTCCATGAGGTTAAATGGCCCTCTATAAAGGAATCGACGCCGGGTAATAAATCACTCCACGTCATTAATGTACTTACCTGACATTGTGTTGACCGACTCTCGAACACGTAGCTGTTTTAATTAATCATACCTCTCCTATCGACCGCTTTTTATAGAATCGCTCAAAATGATATAATCTGATAAGGATTAACTTGTTTTGAGCTGTTAGGTCTAGTGTTATACAAGCGCTTGTTTCGTCCTATTAAGACTTAGCTCAAAACAGGCTATATCCTTATCAGATTATATTATTTTGAGCAGGTCTATAGAAAAGCGATAGATAGAAGAACTTAATGAATTTCAATTGATGTAAGGCCTCAAAAAACTAGCACATCACTGAATCGATCCCCATAACGAGCTACGTTTGAGGATTGAAGGCCTTTCACTTGATGTCTGCGGTGTCAGACCTGACTGAACGGTGTTCTACTCTCTCTGGATCACTAAATTCATTGAATAATTGCAGAAATGCCAACTATATGATTAAATAACGTTGCTTACCGGTCTCTGACCTAACGATATGGCCGAATAACTTGAGATCGACTCATAATTGATGGACGATCATAGGGCGCCCTGCAAGCAGATATGTCAGTTCAGACTACCGCCACACGCTGCAGAACAGCCTCGCGACCGCGCGCATGCGCATGCGGGCATCCACTGAGTTAGAGCTTCTTTACTTCGTCAGTCACACGATTCATGTGGAAGCAGTCTCTTCTTTCACATGACTACTTCGTTATCCCTATTTAGATCTAATACAGTCACCTTTCCCTGAAGTTTAGTGTGAAAGGCTCAAGATGCAATGTCAAATTATATCGCTGTGGAGCGAGGTCTCAAAATAGTCGACTGCACTGATTGCTATATAGCGTGATTCTTGCACGGAGACAATTTCTACTTAGCTCTTCCTAGCCTATTACATCCTCAAAACATAACTCTGCATAGAGGCTTACTGATCGTTATAATTGTTCCCTCTGTGCTGCTTTTTGATACTTCGTCACAATAACATTCTTTTTATTTAACTGCTTTCTTTAGTGGTGGTATGATGTCATAGTATACCTAGTGACGTGCAAAACTTTCGCGACAGCCGGGACTCGAGCCCACGTCTTACATTGTCCGGAATCGCGTGAGCTAACACGTTGCACTACTGGTGTCCCTTTTGCCATCACTGTTTCTACGCTAGAACACATCTATCTGTTAGCAACCAACCGACAGCGGTTTGGCCCTGGTAGCCGGTATATAATACTCGAAATCTGTCAACGTGACTGGGTTCAGTGTCGACACCGACTAACTGAGCCAAATTGATGACTACTGCTTGCTGACAGATAGATGTGTTGTGGCGTAGAAAGAGTGGAGTGCAATACGAGCGTCGGTGGTGCACAGGTTTAGCACATGCTCAGGGAAAGATTAAGATCTGGGTTTGAATTCCGACTGACGCAAACGTTTTTGCACACCACTCAACATCATTGGGTTTATCACCTAATTAATTTCATGTGGCTTTCCGTTGTTTATAAGGTAACTGTTGAATATTCAGAGACTATGTGAATTGGGTGAGGAACGTAAGAGACGAGGAGAGTGCTTGAAATGAAAATGAGCGAAGTTGAGCAGTTGCAAAAGATGAGAAACGCTAACATCGCTAACTTATAGAGAATCATATTAACACTGCTCTTCCATTGCTGGCATGCGATAGAGTCGTGATTGAGGATAAGTATTTTTAATTAATATCAAATGTCACCAAGGGGAGAGATCAGCTGAAACAGCGGCGTAACCTATTTCAAGTTTCAAGAAAGAATCTAATCTGGAAAAATCAGCTGAAAGAAGGCAACCTATTTGAGGCGCCCGAAGATTCAAATTTAGGTGTAACATTCACTGAAAAGTGAGATCACTAAAGTCTTTGGGTCAACGAGCTAAAGTTTATAAGCTGCGATTGATCTAAGCTAAATCCGAAATTCAGAGCAGTTTTATAAAAACGAACCGCTACATCTGGCTGATTTTTGAGTACCGGT